GGCTGCGTTGCCCGGTATTAGGGTTTAAAAACGCGTTATTTTTTTCAGTGTTTCCTAAAAACGTTTTTTTACAGATCCGTTATATAACGCCCAAAAAACGTTTTTTTCGTTTTTTATCGTTATTACTGCGGTATTTTGGACTGTCAAAAAAAACACAACAGAAAAATAACGTTTTTTTTAACACCGTTTGCGGTATTTGTCGAAACGTTTGTAAACCCTACCCGGTATGCATTATGTTCACCCTTTGTCTGCAAATGAATTCTTAAAATGTATTCACTTTATGAAAATCGAAATGAACCACAGCGAAGGAATTTCGATTTTTAAAACTGTGAATAAAAACAACAAAAATACGTTTCGTGCAATAGATCAATATTCTATTTTTGGCGAAAGAATTCAATTTCCACCTTTGAAACATTTCTTGTTTAAATCTGGGATTCGTTCTTACCTGTTCAATTTAAATTTCACAATCAATATTCACCCCTTTACAACTATTGCCTAATAAACGTCTTTTAAATCATCTGTTTGATCAGACTTTTCGAATTGATCTTTTTTCGCTTTGTTGAAAATGACGATATGTTTGATCGAAAAGAACAGAATATAAAAAAAAATTCAATATTTTCTACTGATTTTTTCTTGAATGAATCACTAGGAAAAAAGTTTCAGCGACACAAGCTACAGCTTCAACAATCTCTTCACAACTGCCATCAATGTGAGCACCGTCAGCTTTGTATGATGAGAAACAATTGAACAAAATGAAGTACCTAGAAGTGTTTAAATGCTAATACCTGAAAGTTATCTTCATTCCACAGGTAAAATCTGTTCTTACTCAATGTACCGAGCCTAAATCAACATATTTTGTAGTTCATTAGATATGGTATTGCTAAAAGGTTATTTGAATTATCCAATGGGAACAAACAGCCGATGTAAATACATTGATGACACCGTATGAACTTTCTTCTAAAACTTTACGAATAAAGCATGAGAATAAAGCGTGGCGCCACTATCTTTCCCAAATATATCATTGAAGTCAATTGAATACATAAGAGTTCAAAAGTGCAGCGATAGATGGCGCCTCTATGAATCCTATACGCAGCTTACTTACTGAATATGGCCCATTTGGAATTATCCGTTTACCAAGAATAGTCAAATGAACATACAGTTTAAGTCGAAAAACGATACTTTTAGGTGCATATGTTTGAAGAAATGATTCAACACTATTTTTGGTGTGATGAAGAAGCCGTTGCGGACGCAAAAAAAGTGATAACAATTTCAGAAAATCATTTCGCAGCGATTTACAATTACTTTCAGTGAAGAACAAATAAGCTGGCTAATTAGCCGCATAAGTGTATACTGGCTAACGAATGTATAGACCAACTGGGTGTGTTTAGTTGGAAGTAACTAATACCACACATTTGAACTAACGTTTGTGACTGACATTCAACTCAGAGTTTACATAGAACCAAACATCGATTTTTTTTATTAAGATGTTTTTTTTGAAAAATAGTAATAATTCAAATTATAAAAATGACTTTTATGAAGTATAGTAATTTTCATTTTAATTTGTATGATTTGAATCAGAATACTCAAATCAAAAATTATTGTACATTGAATGTACTCATTTCACACAGATAGCTGGCTAACGATTGGCTTACACTAGTTGTTGGTGTAAACCAAGGCTAAGATAATGCTGGCTAACGAAAAACCGTCACTGATTACTTTTTTACAATCTTTTAACCAATCTCCGGATCGATCCATTATGATTTACTAAAATTGGTATCACTTTTTTTGCGTTCGCTTTCGTCAAGGGGAATGACGTCGGAAGAAGTTTTTTATTTTATATGAATGTACCAAAAAGCGCAGAGCTTGGCTGACTTAACTCAGCTGCAGATACGAGCTCTGAGGATATGAAGAGGTGTTGGAATGCTGAATATTTTTGTAAATACCCGCTGTTTTTATCAGAGATGGTTCATTGTTTATCGCAGGTATACGTAAATGTATATTGGTATATGTTGAAACATATACCTTTGCGTTGGGGTCACGCGTCAGCTAATACTTCAGTGCCAGCGGACACGTTATTTAACGCAAAGGTATATCAATGTCTATACCCGGTATGGAGAATACGTTGGTATTGAATCAATACTATTGATATACATTTACTCTAGGGGAATATCACGCTCCTGAATCTTGTGAGATATTTGAGATATTTGAAATAAACATCAATTGTATGACATATTTTCGAATATTTCGAATGAATAAATCAGATTTTTGTGGATTTTGGAGATATTTGAGATTTTTTGCATTAAATCCGAATAAATACATTTAAATATCATTCATAATCACAAAAATCCACAATATTCCGCCGTATCCACAAATATCAACCATATTTCATACGACAGATTCTTAGAGATAAATTGGATTTTTTTGAAATATTTGAAATAATTTAAGCGTGATATTCCCCTAGCATTTACTCCATCTCTGGTTTTTATTAACGTTATATTAAACAACATCGAATACCACACATCAATTAACGAACAGAACATTGCTTAGTAAAGCATTTCGTTGGAATGGATAATTCAAAATTGGCGTTGATTTTTTGCATTAAAATGTAAAGTTTATTAATGAAATGTATACAATTTCCACTTTTCATTAAGAAGGTTTATGAAATTGTATTTTTATTATGAACATGAAGACAAAAACATTTGTATATCAAAAGACGTACAAAAAAAAGGAGAAAATTGCGGAATGTCAACATTAATTAAATGGCATTTTTTGTTACATTATTTACTTATTATTCCTAGGACTGTGTGGTTAGTTTATCTTACGTTTCTTCTCCCTGGGTTTGCATCTTTCCACTGATATCTTCCCATAATAATTTTTACATTCCCAATCATCATTCAATAGTGCCCGAAAGTCATCATGAACAGCGAACTCATATATATTGAATGTGAAGTATTTTAGGTTTTGGAAATTAGACATGAACTGAGCTGCTTCATTGGCTGTTAGTTTGCATCTATTGAGCCTAATTGAAGAAAGCAAAGGAAGTGATTTGGCTATTTTCGATTGTTCCCAAGCACTTAAACTGAAATCCCAAGCACTTAAACTGGAAGATCCAAGGGTTAAATCTCTATTGTATGATGTTTATAAATGAAACTGAAGAGCGCAATATTCCTTATGCTGAAACAATCCACGTTTAATGTTTGAAGCTGGCCAAATGAAAAGGGGATTTCAATGATGTCATTACTAAGTTGTATACTGAAGCCAAATGTTTTTACACTTTCCAAATCAATTACACTATCAATAGGGTTAGAAGACAATGTAACCACCTTCAAATAGAGTGTATCGAGTTTGTGCAAAGTTTTAATCGCATTCTGAAAATCATTTGAATTTAAGAGAGCATCATCTGTTGCGATATTCAAATATGTAAGCTGTGGACTCAAACGCAGAATGGGAGCTAAACTATCACCGCATGATATCGACGCGTCGGAATCTCTATCAAAAACTTTCAACATTTCCAAATGAGGAACTTGATTTGAGATGACAGAATGCAAGTTTTCACGGCTAGCATCACAGCATTCTAATTTAAACATTTTCGGGAATAATCTATTGAGTGATTCATTGTCAGCAACATGACATCCAACCAATGCTACTCGTACAACTTTAGAAAATGGTTTCTGGAGATGTTCCCAGCCTTCAAAACTATGTACTATCCTTATCTCTATCAAAGAATCTGAACAGTATTCGTTTATGTAATTTATGACATGTTGATCGAGATCAGAATGCTTTTGTACTAATGTTATATTGGAAGTCAAGTGCCCGAAGCAACGGATGAATTGTAAACTGGATTTCAAGTCACGAATGTGTATCGAATAACTATAAATTTCAAGTGAACGATCTCTTGAAATGATACCTCTGAAGTATATACTCTTTTTCGACAATGTTTACGAATGAAAATGAAATTGGCCGCTTTGTTTAGCCACTTGTTTGAGCTGGCTGCACTCAAAAAGTCGCCAAACTCCAAATACTTCAAGATACCCTCCAGACAGTCAATGTTTAGATCCGTTAATTTCATCTTTTCGTCAATTCATCGATATTTCTGCAAAATTATAGTCTATATATTTGAATAATCTGTGGATGAATTCTTGAAATGTATTCAACTTTTGGAAGTTGAACAAAACCACTGCGAACTAACTTCGATTTTTAAAGCCACGATAACAATAACAATATGGTTCTCTTCATCTGCTTTCGAATGATTCTTCAGTTTGGTTGAATCACTAGAGAGAAGGTTTAGGCGACACAAGTTACTGCTTCAACAATCTCTTCACAACTATGACCAATCACATTCGTTCTGTCGTTTTCGTTTAGACGTAGAAAACATTCAAACCAAATGATGTACTTGGAGAGAAAAACGGTAATTTTCAAATGCTAATACACGAAAGGTACCCCAACTCTGCAGGTAGAATCCAAAGTACTTCGATATACCGAGCTTAGTTTAAAAGATTCTTCCTTTTGGTATGTTGAAAACATCACATTTTTAGGCTCATTAGGTAAGTAATTAGCAAATGAGGTTGTTTAAATTATCCTCCTTTTGCCAAGAATAGACGAACAAACATTCTGTTCACGATGCATAGATTCATAGGAATGATTTGATGCTATTTTCGATAAAATCTCCATACATAGACATACAAACCATTAGGACTGATGTTTAACGCCTTATTTGAATAATTCTATACAAAAAACGTGCCCAAAGCAACGGGAAATAAAGATGGAACCGTATTTGCTTACGTTTTTAATGGACAAGTATGGCACTGCCCGTCCTACAGTACTCCTACATGACAAATTAAAAGAAAGCAAAAAACAAACGTACGGAATTGAGAATTTATCAAATTTGAAAGAATGAGAGAAAATGATATATTCAAACTGCGGAAAATATAAACCAATGCCATTTGCTTCTTTATTGCTTTTTATAAATTCAATTTCTGCAAAAATAAAAATAAATGTTCAATGTTTTCAGAGCTTCGTTAGCACAATAGAAATATTTCAATTTATTGTTCAATTGATTCCATTGACATTTTCAACAGTTTTTGTATTCATTTTCAATTACAATGAATTATGTTCTGATTTTTGAAATGCAATTCATTTGTTTTTTAATAAAATTGAATGAAAATTGAAAAATCGGAATGTTTGATGAATTCATGTCAGTTTGATTTAGATTCCAACAAATGGAAAGAGCTTTGTTTTGATGTTTTATGGGTCAACGTTTTGGTTTAGATCTAAATTTTTGTTCTGTTTAAACCAAGACCACTGGTTTTTCCATCATTTCAAAAGAATTTCTCATGAAAAATATGTATGGAATGCCTAAATAATCAAATTTATGAAAAAATTCAATCAATGTCAACCTAGCTAAATCTGATGAGCTCTGCTCCAGCTATTTTCAACTAACTGCTTTGTCTAATATTCTGAATCTGACGAAATAAAAGCCGGGTGACGACGGGCTACATTGCGCAAACCATTGAGATAATCCGTAAGTTCTTCCATTGACACAAAGTGCCGCTCCGAACTGGCTGGAGTGCGTTGAATTGTGAATCCACGCTTCGTGATACTGTACTGATAAATAAATTTGCTCTTCTTTGCCTGTCGTACAAATGCATACATTCGTGTGTAATAGTCGGTCGTATGATAGCCAATGTAAATCGAAGTTGGACGCTCGTCTGGGGTCAATCGCATCAAATCGTCGGTGCGGAATCTGTTTCTCGAAGCAATTCTCAAGATATCTTCTTTGATGTTTCGACTTTTGAAACGAACCACAACCATATCACGCGGCATACCTAAAATTCGAAGGAGAGAGGGAGTACATTGTTGAATACAAGGAGAGAGCAGTATAATAGGAGAAATATCAAATATCGATATTTACCACGATAAATTTTGATGATATCCTCTGGCACAATGTCTGCATCGAACTTGTTGCAAAGCCGCAAAAACATGCTACGCAAATCTTCGGTGGTGCGAGTTGGAACGCCACTAATTGCAATATCATTGAGATATTCATTTTGCAGCTCAAGCTCACGCATTTCGATTGATAGTAATGGTTGGTGTGAACTAAGACTGCTGGCTGGAGACCGCATTCGATTTCGACTCAAGGGACTTCGGTCACGATTTCGATCATATATTCTCCCATTGCGACTGCTGGATGGAGACCGCATTCGATTTCGATTTGATAATGGACTTCGGCCACGATCATCGGTTCTACCATTGATTCGGTCGTTCTGCACATTTCTGGACACTTCCATTTCAAAGCGATCACATGCCTCAACGATCCTGAAAATGAAATCACAGTTAAAACTATTGAAGTATATTGAATCAAACATTGATCTGAATTTGATTTTTGGAATTGGCGATAAATGAATGGAACAACTAACACTGCGACAAAGTACCACTTTTGAGTAGAACACTTTTTGCACACTGATTCACACTCACCGATTCCTGGTCACATTGACAAAATGCTTCCGAAACTTGCGATCCAATCGACGGCCTGATTCATTGAACATCTGTCGGATTCGCAAGAGTGAGCTTGTGGTGTGGTGTTCAATATTCCCCAAATACGTATCGAGTTCGCGTTGCCAATCACCCATTGTTCTGCAATTCAGATATGGAATTTGTGGTTAAGTAATGGAAATTTATAATTTTCCTCTAAAAATGAAGTTGTATTGTTTTGATTACCTTGTGAACACTTTCAGCTAAGCACAAAATTCCTCAATTTTCCACTCCTACCCAATTTGTGACTTAAACGCGACGGAATGTTTACTAATTGTCGAAACAAAAGAAAGAATTTCATTAAATGTGAAATGTTGTTTTCGATCGACTGACGTTTGTGTCATACAGAGGACTGAACGTTCACGTTTGACGTTTCACAAGAGACGTCAGCAGCAGCGTGAATGTGAACGTTTTTCCAATTGAAAAATATGCAAATGTGAACCCTTCGCTATGGAACCGCCGCGCTGAGTCAATGAACTCATAAAGAATTGAAATAATAGCATTTTATCGCTAAGCAGAGCAATTGAATGATAGCATTTTAATGCTATTGGTTCTGGATTGAAAATATGACAAAGAAATATTTTTGCGATGGGAAATTAAAATCTGATATGAATAATAAAAATATTCTCATATTATCAGATTCAAAATAAGAAAATTTCGATATTTATTTCACCGGGACAAAACGTTATGTTGTCTAATAAGAATCAAGTCGTAGCAATTAGCACACCAATCAGATTTGTTTCGGTGTATGAATGATTCTTCACACAAAATTTTTGCACTCTGAAATAAAAATCCAATTGTAATTCAAAATCAGACAGTTTGTCTAAATCGATTTGTTTTTGGAGTAATGAATGTTTTGTTTTATTCAAATTTATTACTTTTTATTTTCAATTTTTTTTATTTCAAGAATTTTTTTTCCCCAAAATAAATTGACCGACGCCTGCTCTATCAAACCATACAATAATTGGGTGAATTGATATTCGTAAAAAAATTTGACAGAATTGTTTTCAAATTAAGCCGATTAGTGGCCAATATTGAACCAGTTTTCTTAGAAAAAATATTTGCGGAAAAGCATAGATTTGAAATCTAATTTTAGGCTAGAAGTAAGGCTGTTTTAATTTGTTTTCCATTAATTTTTCATTTTCAATAATTTCTTTAATGGAATTTATCCAATTTTTTTAACCAAATATATGAAATTTTCCATTTTTCAGTAAAATAAAAAATCATTCTTGAAAAATATCAGTTTGATAAAAAAAATTCCCTTCATAAAAATCTGTTGGAAAGAGTTATTTTGTGTGTAAAAATGATATATTTTGTTATAATTTCCTTCTGCTGTTGAATTGATCAATTGGATCGGCGATATTTGGATCTTCTTGTATCAAATTCGCTGCGAGACCTTATGTCTCGTTTCCGGTTCCTCTTGAATTGCCTATCCTTGACGTCTCTGATCCAGTCCAGTAGCTCTTGCTTCGACAGAATCTGATGATCCTTGTCATCGTCCTGGCTTCTCACCAGCAGACCATTCTCGCACAAGTAATACGACGTAATGATGCCGGTTTTCTTGTAATACTTGGCGATTTGTGCCATTTTCCCATAGAATCGTGTTGTGTGCAAATTGACGAATAGCCTGGTCGATGTCATCCGTTCTGGCAACGAAACGATTTCTGACGACCACAAATCCTTGTGCTTGAAACTACGTTTTATGTTGGCCTTGGCCGTCCATGTCTTCAGTTTCACGATAATTGGTTGATTCGGACCCGACGTTCGAAATATCTTCAGAACATCTCTCTGCGTCACGGGTGCGTTGATTCTCATGCAAATTCGGTCGAAAATCCGGAGTAAATTTTCATTGCGTAGGCATGGAATGCCGGTGATCGATAAATTGTTGACCAATTCGTTTTGTTTCCGCAATTCTGCCTGAAGTTCTGACTTGGACAATGGCGTGTGTGATGCGATTGACGAATCCGATGATGATAATGATAGCGATGTTGATGTGGATGTGTCCGATGACATGGAAAATGTATCGGAATCGGTATCCGTATCCGTATCCGTGTCACTGTCTGAACTCCCACTGTCTGAACTCTCCTCCTTGTTTCTGCCATTTTCAACACTTCGATCATTGTCTTTGCCATGAACCATGTCTCTTGACACAGTCTCAGTTCTTTTCCGTACTAAACCATCCACACGTTCTTCTAATGTCTTCAGCACTTGTGCAAATTTGGAGCTATTATCGTATTTGGTGCCCTTCAAATTGAAAATCGACAGAACCAAACCGTTGCTAAAGATCATCTTCGATTTCGAATGAACATCCTTCAAATGGTTTGTGAATTCTTCACTTCGAACCTTGACCACCTTGCTCTTATGGGCCCGTGCATCATGAGCCATGAGTTCGACCAAGACGTTCGTTTGAAAACGACATTCGCTACACTTGAATTGGAATGAATGCTCTTCTAAATGCTTGAAATATTCCTCTTGATCGGCCATCACATTGCATTCCTCGCAATGTATGTTTACCCTCTTCTTGTCGACTACCTCATTGGAAATGATCACCAAGTCAGAATGCTCCATAGAATTATGATGCTCAAGCTCATGGAACGTGTCAAAAATCGTTTTGCAATGACCACATTGACACTTTTTGTGAATTCCAATGCTGAGAACCTCTTTCAAAATGTCATCCGTCACTCGGAATGGATTCAAAGAATGTTTCGATAGAATGACCTTGTGTGCACGTTCGAAATGATCATCCAATTCTCCGACTCGATTGCAAAGAGCACATTGTTCTCGATTCGATTGATTTGCAATGATTAGAACATTCGTTGGATGAACCTTCTGTTGATGTTCGATCACCTCAGAGAAAGATCCAACCACGTCGCAGTAGTGACAAGCCACCAACTGGGTCACATAGAATTGAAACGGCTCCGCTTTGGGCAGATCGGTGTGAGCTGACAACCAATGACCGTAGACCAAATCAATGTCGTCAGAGTAGAAATCGTTGATCTCTTTCGATTTCAAGCAGTGGAGACAACCGAATTTCATGGAATCCGAATGGAGTTTTGTGCCGACTGTGAAAAAGTATACGAAAAGAGGAGATTTAGAAAAGAATGTTGGACTTTTTTCAGTCAACGCTTTAGCCATGTTGTAATAAGAGGCAATTGCTTGACTGGAAAAATGCTCGACTTAATTCAAGATGCAAAAAATGATCGAATTAATGGAAAATACTGAAAATTCAGTTGAAAACTGAGAAAAAACCGTTTGAATAATCGAATTTTCAAACAAAAAATCAGTTGAATCTCCAAACAATTCATGTTTTACCTTCCGTTTTAACCTCTCTACCCGCTCTGGTGATTCCATTCGATCCCGTCGAATGTAACTGGGTCTCAGTCCGCTTCCGTGAGCTGCTACTATCTGCTGGCCTCTTTTTGATCGAGCTTTGCACTGATTTTCCTCTGGAAAATTGCCTATCTCTTGACTGGCTTGTACTCGGCTTCGAGCTGGATTGAACTAACGGCAAACGCATTGATGAATTCACAACCGATTTTCTGGGCGATCTCCTCGATTTGCTTCGGGAGCGTCTATTCGTTCCGGTTTTACTTTGAGAACGCCTACTCATTCTGAACTTACTTCGTGAGCGTCTGATCATTCTGTGTCCGCCTTTATTCGATCCGCTGGACGATGGTTGGCTCTCCAATCGATCAAACGTTTCGGCAATCCTGAATTTGAGACATTGATGACAAAAAATGTTAGTTTTTCAATTGGATATGCCGAGTGCCTAACCAATGATATGAAGGAGAGATTGAATCAGTTTCGAATCGATGATAAACAATCATTCAATGAATCAATAAATCCAGAAATCATCCAAGACTACACAAAAACCATTCCAAAAAACACTCACCGTTCGTTGGTTGCACGAAGGAAGATTTTCCGAAAACTTTTGTCAACGGGTAAACCAGAACGATTGCATTGTCTCTTGATTCGCCACAATGTTGCCATCGAATGCTCCTCAATTTGGCTCATAAGTGTATCCAATTCACGTTTCCACTTGTCCGTATTCATCTTGTTTCAAGTAGAATTGAATGGCGATACTGAAAAATCGGACTGTTTACCAAAATGAACGAATTGATGATGCCTGTGTTGGAAATGATCGAACGGAATTTGTATGAATGGCATTTTGAATTCCAATGCTGGTTTTGATTCACTTTATTCCCATCGCTTCATGAAGCAATTGAACAAGCGACATTCTCGCCTGAATCTGGCCAATTTACATGCCAAAATTATGCCAATTCACAAGACAAAACTCTGTCAACTTACCTTCTAGCGATAATCAAATTCTTTTTCTCCAAATCGATGGAAAATATCGAAAATTTGACCAAAAATCTGCGAACTCTTCGTTTATTCACTCGAAAAACCGATCAAATAGGCACAAAAATCCACTAGTTGAACATATGAGTGAAAATTTTATTAAAAATTTCCATTCAAATCAGATTAAAAAAGGCTAAAATGCTAATGTCACTCGCAACAATGGAATGTGACAAAAAAGTGTGCGGCATTGCTTTGTTTATGCAAATGTCAAATGCGATTCTACACACAAACACAGCATTCTATTTAGTATATAAGCGGCCAGAGCCGAACGAGTTTGCATTGGTGTTTGTGCAAACATTCCCTTGAACCACGAGCGAATGTACAGTACACACAGACTGAGGCTTGATGTGACAACGTGACAGTGTGTATACAGCACAGCATAAGGGAGCGAGTGAGCGAGAGAACAATCGAGAAAACGAGAGAACGAAAGTGGGAAAACGTTGTATCTCTCGCACATCGTCAAGCATCATTCGTCTATATCCGTGCCATTGCAGTGGATAAGTGAGATAGACGGTGTGAACCGAATGTGATTTGTCGCTGTATTGTGTTGATACATTTTCGGGCTAATTGATTCGGGCTTGTCAAACAAAAAGCATTCATCAATTTGTTTCAAAGTTTCTTTGTCACTGAGTCAACCAATCTCAATTGTTTCCATCGGATGAATGATTTCAGTCGATATCAAAACTGTATCAATTTTTTTCATCCGAAAAAACTCCAGTTTTTCAACAACAAAAAGTTCACCTTTTTTTTCGTGCACACAATTCGGAATGTAGTGTATACTGTATATTCACGCTTTGCCGGCATCATCGCATCGGCCGGTGTACATAAGACGAACACACTCTTCTCGCTGACACTTTGCGCTGCATACAGCATACACACCAACTGAATGGTTTTAACAGTACCGTTGGCCACGATGTTGCCATGCGACATTCATGTGACATTTGAGCTTGGTTATGTTGTTCATACGGTCACAACATTTAACCTGCGCTGTTATTTCTAAATTTTCATGAAAATTTGCACCCAAAAAACGTGCATCATTCGACTAATCAACCCGACAATTGGCAGAAATGGAAGATCTATTCAAGTGCATCTGTGAATTTGGCGACAATCACTATTGGCTTCGTTCGTTTTTCAAACAGGTGATTTTCTTTCTGAAGCGTATTCTGGCCAATCGGGCGCTGTTCGACACAAAACACCGCAGTTTCAACGATGATGTTGTCAAAAATGCCATTTGCCAATGCCATCTCCTTCGATTGCAAACGATTATAAGGAACAATTCACACAAAGTAAGTAGATTTAAACGAAAATTCGGCATTTTTCCAAACAAATTTCGGGTGAACATAACCAAAAAAATGTGATGATTCGTGTGTGTGTTGTGATAGGTGACAGCTCAGATGCTGATTGTGAAGATGGATGCTGCTTGAAAATGGCCCAAAAATTGGCTCAACATCATTTGTCGCGCATTATTAAGTAAGTTTTTGACTCCAATTAGTTCAGCTTTGGATAGAATCTAGTGTCGTTGCTCAATCTAACCACAAAATCATCGTTTTGTACAGACCATTGCGGTCCAAATCAGAACAAACCGAACGCAGCCGTTTGGATTCAGACAAAGTGGATGTTGTTGGCAGTCCTGAATAAGACGAAATCACTGACGGTGGATTGATTGACATTTTACACCTTGCCGCATTTGTTTTGGAATGCATCGTGGCCAATCCGGTGCTTTATGATCGAAAGAACGAACGATATCGCGATGAACCGTTCAAATTGAAGGTCTGGAATGGGATTTGTGCAGTGTTTCATGACAAAAGTAGGGCATTTTTAGATCAAAACCATGGGAAATAGGCATATTTCTATCAATATTCAAGGGGATAGATTCATTTAGCGAATAACTTATCATGATAAACTCGATTCAATTCGATCTTTGGTTACAGTTCAAAATGACGAGCTTGGCGATGAGGACCTCAGCTTTGAAATCAAGCATGCCCAGAAGACGATTGAACGCCAATTGCATCGAATGGTCGAGTAAGTATGCGAGTTTTTTGGACGGAAAATTGGTTTACAGACACACTTTGTCGGTAGTTCATTGAGTTTTACTGAAAAGGATTGCTCACTGGGTGTAGAACGTTGGAAATGTTTGAAAAATTTAGAAATTGTCAAAGCAAATCAAGTCTGTGATAAGTTTTCAACATGTTTTCAATGAAAATTGAATCATCTCTAAGAAATATGCATAAAACTTTAGTGAATTCAGCTTCAATTGGATCATTTCCAATCAGAGATTTGGGTCTAGTAGCTAAAATATTGAAATAGACTCAACTCAAGTAAAGTTTGCGTTAAATTCATCGCATATCAAATTGGAAATTGTGTCAAACTCACTCTATTTCAAGTCCAACTAATGATGTTCTCCATTTTCAGACCATTGAACATGAATCGCAAAGCATCCAAGGCTGAGCTAAGCCGAATGGTCATTGACTCGGAATCTAGTTCCGATATGGAATATAATGGCAATGAATCGTTCGATCGTGGACTATTCAAAAAGTCCAGGCAACCAGTGACGATAAACATTGCACCGAGTAAGACTGGAACGCAAACCGTCAATATCATTCTCAACGATGGTTCAGTGTCGAAGAAACCCGCTGAGAATCTGGTGATTGAATCGAAAATTGATCGTGGCCACAGCCAAATTGTCGAGTAAGATTGCATTTTTCTGTTCAAATTTTTGAAATTTTAATGAATTTTCGAATATTTCAGTCAATTGACGGCTGTGGAACGGCATCCAACATCGATTGAACAGACAGAAAGCAGATCCAGTCAGGGTGATCGCGCTCAGAAGCGTAACCATGGGTAAGTGGCACATTTTCCTAAACATTTTTCGATTTTTGGTGTCAAAAGCAAGATTTTGCGGCACATAAGAAACGGAAAATAGACTCACGCATCGATTCTTCACACTTTTTCGAGACATTCGTATCAATTCTATCAATTTTCCATTCTGATTTCTGTTTAGAACCGACAAAGATCGCAGTCCAGAGACATCAAAGCGTAAAAAGTCGGAAAACGAGAGTGAACGTGAGCATAGACGTGGCTAAGAGTAAGAAAAATGCAACAAAATTGAACAAAATTCATTTATTAATCGATTTGATTCTTTTTATTTGGACAGAGTTGAGCTCAGCCCAGAGGTAGAGCAGCGTAAGAGGCACAAATCGAATGTGAACCCGTCACCTGAACGTCCAGCTCGCATCAAGTCAGTCATTCAGAAAAAGGAGGCGTCGAGCAAAGCTCACAAAGCGCATAATCTTCGCAGAAAATAAGCAAAGACCACAGCTGACAGCCGATAGCCCTCAAGGTCTTACATTTTCTTTCAACATTTTCGAATATTGACTTTAATTTGAAATTAAACCAATTTTGCACAACTTTTGTGCAACAGCGTATAGCACTGCACACTTTTTGTTGAAAAATGGCGAAATTTGCCGTAGAGAGCGCGCTTTCTTATGGACATTCCAATGGGGAACTGTTGACGCCCACTTGACAGTTCTTTTGATAACTAGTAGCGTTAGACGCTGTTGCTTTTGTGCAACAAACAGATAATAAAAGTTCAAAATTCATTTGAAATTGCTCCAATAAATGGGATTTCTGTAATATTTTTCTTAAAAACGTTCAACATTGTCTTTCATTTTATTATTATGTTAACAGATTCAAATACGACAAATCGAATTGAGTGTCATCAGTGTTCCATGACGGGATTTCCATCTTTGACATGCGAAACACCGACAACTTCATGCTGAAGCCGTTTCATTCAGAGCAAATGTCAAAGCGAAACACCACTTGGATATCACAAGAGTGTAACCATTAGGAAGAGATTTAAACTGAATAAGGAGATCATTCGCCGAAAATCGATTGCATATCGCCACAATTAACACGTAAGTTGATTCACAGAGTTTTTTTTATTAAAAAACATTCAATGAACAACAATGGAAAGAGAAAAGAACGAAAATCCATTGCCTGTGATGTGACATAGTGATGACAATTGAACACAAGTTTCCAATACAATTTTCAATTTCAGATTTTCACTTAAAATTCAATTGGAATCGTTCCCATTGCCAAACGTTTGATTGCAATATCGATAGATTGACTTGGAAAAGGTGAGAATAGTGACTCAACTTCCCAATCAAACTTTCGTTCATTCACACATAACCTCAATTTCTGTTCATAGCATTCTCACAGAACCAACCCGAACCAAAGTGTGTCGATTATTCTGAAAGCCAAAGTCAAAGCGATCAAAATGTCATCGTCACCAAGTCAAGGGCCAACGCCAGAGCGGACTGCTAACTTCGAATGCGATATTTTGTCGATGATCGGAAGACGATTGTACCTCGATGTCGATACAGCTGACGTGTGTTTTGTGTTCAAGACGGGTGAACGGGTTCCCGCACACAAAGCCCACTTGATTTTGGCAAGCGAAGTTTTCCGGACAATGTTCAACGGTTCATGGAAGGAGAAAAACGAAGTACAGATCGTCGACACGTCAGTTGCTGGCTTCAAGGAATTTCTTCAATTCTTCTACTGCACCAACGTCACGCTGACGATGGGAAACGTTAGCGAGGTCATCAACTTGGCCAAGATGTACGAAATCACCGGTTGCCTGAACATTTGCTGGACATTTTTGAAACAAAATGTGGCGGACAACAATGTATGCGAATTGTATGACTTGACAATTTTCTACGAGGAAAACGAACTAAAGGAATTGTGCAAGCAGCACATCGGCAGCAACACGGCGGCTGTGTTCGAATCGGACGGATTCGTGGGATGTCATCGTCGCGTTTTGGATCACATTCTCAAACAAGGTGAATTGTCGTGTCCAGAAGCGGTCGTGTTTGAAGCAGTTATGTCGTGGGTAAAAGCTGCCAGCAAACAAGTGGACTTGACGAAGGAAATCGTACAAACTCATCTCGGGGATTTGTTCCACGAAATTCGTTTTCGATCGATGACATATGATCAATTCGTCGATCTATTGCCTTCGTATGGCAAATTGTTTACGGGAGATGAGTTCAACGAAATACTCCAGATGATTCGAAATGCAGAATATGAACCGAAGATGTTCAATGCACTACCTCGTAAAGCTACAACACTGCCATGGGATGAAAGGGCTATCATAAAATGTGACCGTTTCATACAACGTCCAGGAGATGAATCGTATCGCCTTCAGAAGATTGAAATCACATCATTCACCACAAATAAACCAATATTGTTGGGCTACTTCATGTGTGCTCCCATATTTATATATAAAAATGGTCAATATGAACGCCTGCAAAATGCTCTACCGGCAGATCTGACCATCGTTAGAGTTTCAAATCGGAACGAATGTCAAAGTGAAATATCTGAATGCACGGTTTTACACACCATGAAAGTTGAACTGACGGGAGATTATACTAAAAATTCAATCAAAATCTCCAAGCCAATCATCATTCGTCCCGTATCTAAGTACGAGATTCGAATGAATATAGACATTTCGGAAGGTTGCTTTACTCGTTGGAACCTGAAGTCGGAGGTGAACCTACAAAATGGTATCATTGTAACATTCCATAATGATCCTTTGGTAAGCGGTGAAAACATGGGCCTGGTTGATGGGCTTGGATTCAATCGCATTGAATGATCAATCTTTTATATTACTTGCCTCGAAAGAAAATCGAAACTAATTATTGATTGTTTACAACAAATAAGTCACAGAATAAAAATAACAATTAAAATATTGGAATTGTTTCTTGTTTTCTTAAATATCTTTCGATTAGGTTCTTTGAACTCTATTACCGGGCTTACATCAATTTCTTCTTTTTCATTGGACAACTTTTTATTGGCAACTAAAACGATCGAATGATCCCATCTTGCAAATTCTTAATGAATACTAAAAGTGAGTGCCACATAAAAATCATGTTAGAATGTCCATCAAATGACTATTGATGCTTTAGTAGTCGGCTCCGCCACCCCACGCACCTGTCTGGCTACGGGCCTGGTCGGTCATTATTGGTTATTTTTAAAACCGTGGTTAGCCCCTAGGTAGTGTTGGCCGTCGAACACTTTCGAACGCTTTCTCGTTCGTTCGACATGGTTTTAACAAAAAGTTTTGTTCGTTCGTTCGTTCGACAATTAAAAAAAAAAAATTTTTGGTTCGTTCGTTCGACATTCATTTTGTTCGATGTTCGGTCCGAACAAAATTTTTTTACATCAGAAAATTCGATATATTGATCAAATTTATAATGTAATCGTTACAGCTCATGCTTTTATTAGCTTTTATTATAATTTTTCATAGTAATACCAATTTTATTCGCGAGATTTTGAAATAAAAAAAACTTTGTTCGGACCGAACATCGAACAAAATGAATGTCGAACGAACAAAAAAATATTTTTTTTTAAATTGTCACAGCAAATCAAATTAGTCTAAGAGCAAACGTGTATATGCAGTACAAACACATTCCAACTGTGCTTGACCTAAATAATAAAATTCAATTTTTTAAAGTGCAAATAACATGCAACAAACACTATTGAGTGGAAAATGAATTGCGTTTTACTTTTTGTTTTATTTGTCCTGGGACAAAGTTCGATAATAGACTAAGCATACTGGTGAAACTCAATGAAAAAATAGTATGGAGTCATTGAAAATTGTCAAAAATCGGATCCAAAACAGAAGTCGACTCTTGGTAATACTCACACAATATGGTACAGTTTCAATGAATTGATAAGATTTTGATATTTTTGATAGATAATCTCTACTGTCCGAAATACTCAAGGTGTACGAGCATTTTTCAAAGAATTGTGCGACAATAGCAATATTCATGGTGTTCGTTATTTCACCAAGCAAGGTTTGCATTGGAGCGAAAGGTTGTGATTTCAATATGATCTTTGACCTATGAACAAATTAATTCGATTCTGGTTTGTGTTCATTTCGTTCTTTCTTCAAATGCAGGTTGTTTTGGGTGATTGGTTTCGGTTTATCGCTCTGGCTATGTGCATCCATGATCAAAAACATCTTGAATCAATGGCATGCGAATCCAGTTAAAATGAGCTTCACTGAAAAGAACATGATGATTGCGAATATTCCATTTCCAACAGTGACCATTTGTCCAATTATGAAAATTCGCAAGAGTGACAAACATTTCAATATCACATCTGCTCTCGATTCCTTGCCCAATTTGAACCATTTTGAGTAAGAAGCTTCACACTGTTGGCTTCGAATTTGCTTTTGATCTTTATTCTAATTGAAATAAAATGTGTTGATCTATTTCCCTGGAAAAAATTTGATCACCCCAAAAGGATGGTACAATTGAATGCCCTAGCTCATGTCTGCCCCCTTTTACCAGATTTAATTAAATCTAAAGAGAATTTTACGGATGAATTGATTTACGATACAATTCAACGCTTGGCTCCACCTGAACAAAACTCAATCTGGTTGACCATATGGACAGGAGTATGGGAACACTTTGCACAACTTTTTATTCCGGTTCTTACTGAAGAAGGAGCATGCTACAGTCTAAATGTTCTCAATTCACATGACATATACACCGACGAGTAAGTGTTACAATCAGTTTCCATTTTGTTTCAGATGAAACATAGCTGGTAGATAACTTATACCTAATAATTGAATCAAAATTTACCAGAATGGCTCCAGGAATGATGATCGTGCACCAAACTGCATCAGAATGGGATTTGGAAAATGGCTATAAAACAATGTCGAATAATGGAATATTCCCGCGTCACGTTGCAAGTGCAGGTGCTGGTACTGGCGTTGACATTTTTCTAAGAACTGACGTGACAGAGTTTGAAAATCGATGCAGCGGTCCCGAACAAGGGTTTAAAATGTCTTTAACTATGCCTGGCGAAGTATTGAAAATATCACGAAATCAAGTGAAAATATCCCCTGAAAAAGATATTCAGATTGCTATAAAACCCAAATGGATCATCACTTCAGAGGGACTACGTGACTACAGTCCAAAGCTACGTCAATGTTTCTTTCAATCCGAGCGACAATTGCGTTTCTTCAAAATGTATACGAAAATCAATTGCGAAGAAGAATGTTTGGCCAATTTCACAAAATTGGAATGTGGATGCGTGCAATTTTCTATGCCAAGTACGAATTTTGTTCCATTTTGCGACATTTTTGTGGATTTTCTTTATGTGAAATGGTTTTTTGTACAAAAATCACTAACGTGCTCATTGTTTTATATCAAGGAGATATAAATACCAAAATTTGCGGCGCAGCTAAGATCAAATGCTATAAGGCAGCCGAAAAGGAATTATTTACCGCCACTAAATCATTTCTCAATCAATGCAATTGTTTACCATCATGTACTTCTATCGAATACGATGTTCAATTTGACCAGATTAAATATGAGCAAGAAATTGTGCGAAAGGTCGTCAAAAACAAATCAGAGGAAAATACGTGAGAGCCACAATCGCTGTAATATGATAAATATAGATTATTATTCAACCTTGTCCTCTTTCATTCTTTTTCCAGTCTGCATTCAAGGCTATCGATATTTTTTCAAAACAATGAAGTGTCACCCGTTAAACGGGTTGAAATGTACACGTTGGCCGATTTTTTGGCCCATTGTGGCGGTTTACTTGGACTATTTTTGGGCATTTCAGCATTGAGTATTATCGAACTCATTTATTACTCTACATTCCGCTTATTCTGGACTAATCGTCGATCCAAATTTGAAAATATCACTGCTGCATCTCATCCAGGAGTAGTTGCCTTCATTTTGAAACTTGCTTTAGTAAGTTGATAAAAAATCAAATCATCTTTGTAACAACAAACATTTTGGTAGAACAATCGCTGAAGCTTAAAAAGCTCCAAAATGTCGGAACAAAATTCATTTTGATTTAAACAATTTCATGTTTTTTATTTCTTCCATAAAATAATTATGTTTCGATGCTATTAGCTTAAAAGACCGATTAGATTTGTACGGGTGATATGGACGTTTTGTAAGGAGCTCTGTGACAATAGCAAAGTATGGAGTCTCAAAGTGGGACAAATTACGAATGAAATTGAACTTTCTAAGTAAAATTCATTTTTAGATGCGAAATTTTTTTCGATTTAAACGAATGATATGGATGTTCATCAAAGAGTATTGTGACAATAGTAGCATTCATGGTGTACGATATTTCAGCAAGCAATTGTTGCATTGGAGTGAAAGGTTCGAAAAATTCCTTTCAATTGTCGCATTTTTTTCAATTGAATTCAATGGAATTGCAGGATTTGGTGGTTGGTTTTCTTAAGTTTGTCACTTTGGCTATGTGGATCAATGACACAAAACATCTGGAATGAATGGCGTGATAACCCAGTTCAAATGAGCTTCAGTGAGAAAGCAATTCCTATTTCAGCAGTTCCATTTCCAACTGTGACCATTTGTCCAGAAACAAAAATTAATGGCTTTCTAATTGACTGGCGTAATGACGTTACGATGCAGGAGCAGAAAACCAATTTATCTGCCATAAAGTAAAGATCAAAAACGTTGATACTAAATCAGAGCGTGCTTTGAACTTACGTTAGCAGCACTAACTAACGTTAGCTGCTGATATCAGCTGCTGACGAGTATGCTTTGCGTTGTTTTAACGCATTTGCAGTATAAAAACGAGATATTCTCCAAACATACCAATGTTATGTTTGCTTGCCTCTTCGTTTTTATACTGAAAATGCGTTAAAACAACGCAACGCATACTCGTCAGCAGCTGAAATCAGCAGCTGACGTTAGTTAGTGCTGCTAACGTCAGCTCAAAACACGCTCTGTACTAAATGAATAAATAATTGTATTAACAAAACTTCTGAATCGAATTCATTTCTCAAGTAGCAATGATGAAAGGCTGATTTTCATTTGAAATTTGTATTTGCTTTTACAGAATGAAGCGATTGAATACGTTGACATACATCTGTCCTCTTTTGAAATATGCCACATCCTTGGCTTATTATGTGGGTAATTTATCAGTATTTCGGGACTTTTTATTTGTATAATAATTTTCTCAATTTAAATTGGCTAAAAATTATTAGTCACCACCATTCACGGATGACTCTATTTACGCCATAATCGAAGATATGGCACCAAAATTCGACGAAATATTCCATACATGCCGTTGGCAAAATAAACGAATTGACTGTGAAAAACTCATCGTTCCTACGTTCACTGATAGTGGCTTTTGTTTTTCCTTCAACACTCTCAATTCCCATGACATTTTTACGAACGAGTGAGTTTTTGACTTGATTTTTTAAAATTTTGTTTTCGGATTTTGTCTCTAATAATGTTAACTACTTAAGCATTATCACTAGAGCCTCCAAAAATTGTTAAAGTGGTTGCCAGAAGTAGCCTTTTCTATCATTTGATTGGCTTCAAATTTGGCGTGTTTTCGTTGTTTGGCGAAAAAATGGGATTCTCAAAGTTTTATTGTGATTAATAGAACCTCAGTGTATTTTTGAGACGCTTAAAATAGCAATTTTAACAATTTTTGGAGGCTCTAATTATCACATCAAAAACTAATCCAAATGTGATGATCTCTTAGAATGGCACCAGGAATGATGATTGTTAACAGTAATCCAAATGTGTCCGAATGGTCTTTGGAAAATAATGTCAAGGACATGAAATATCCGATTCGAGTGTCCGATTCTGGACAAGAAGCCTCTCTTACCTTGGGTCTGTTGTTCAATGAACAGAGAGATGTAACAGACTCGTGTAACGGATTGGAGCAAGGATTTCGATTGAAATTAACAACACCTGGTGAAACAATGGTGATGTCACGAAATTACTTTCGACTACCCATTTCGGAAAATAGTCTTATTAAAATCAAACCGAAATTGACCACAACTTCATATGGGTTACGATACTATGGACCAAATCAACGGCAATGTTTCTATCAATTCGAGCGCCAATTGCGCTTTTTCAAAATCTACACTCAGACCAATTGCGAAGCCGAATGCACGGCCAATTTAACGAAAACCGAATGTGGATGTGTAAAATTTTCGATGCCAAGTATGAATTCGAGTCAAATTTTATTGATGGTTATGGTAAAATATTGTTTTTACAGGGGATAGAGATACGAAAATTTGCGATGCAAGTATGTATGAATGCTATGAAATTTTTGAAAGAACAGCATCAACTTATCAAGAGGTTAGTTATTATCGCAAAAAATGTAATTGCTTACCAGCGTGCACCTCAATCGAATTTAATGGAGAAATAGATCGAGTTGAATTCAATGTGACGTCGGTTCGAAACATGATGAAAAATCATACAATTGACAAGGGGCAAGTACAATCATATGAAGTGAAGAAGGGCTAGGGTAATTTTTTCATTTCTCGGTATTCTGTTTTTATTTTTCCAGACATCAACTTGCAAAAGTATCCATCTTCTTTGGTGGTCAACAAATACAGATAGAAAAACGAATGGAAGTCTACACTTTTTCAGATTTTATAGCGATTGTTGGTGGTTTACTTGGATTATTCATGGGCATTTCGGCACTAAGCATCATTGAACTCATTTATTATTCCACGCTTCGGTTGATTTGGACCATTTGGCGAATGAGATTGGAAAATAGATCTGATGTTTGGGCAAATTGATTCAATTGTTCGAAAGCTTATTACAATGACAAAAAATAGAAACGACAAAGACATGGACGGTAATAGTGTAGATTTTTTTCTAGATTATCGTAGGTATCTACGATCTATGGATAATTATCCACACGGAAAAAGTTATCAGAACATGAAAAAACTCTATATTGTGAGCTTTTTTATCATTGATTTTTCATTAATATCAAATTGCTGCAATATTCTTAATAGTGATAAGCTTAAAACTAACTTTATATAGACGTTTTTTATTCCAAGCCGGCCATGCTGACCAATTTAGCACAACTCACAGACCTGTTTGTCAAAGACTATGTTGCATAAATGTTTTGCAAAAATGACTTTCTTGTTAACAATAATTTTCGACGTTGGAATGTACAATTGAATGTTTCTTCTTGAGAAATGGTAAATCGCGCATATGAACCTTTCTCACAAGAATTGAAATTATAACATGAATAATCATCGAACTCATTTATTAATTCTTACTTCGATTGTATTGGTTCATTCGCCGAGTAAAAAAGCTATTCAGCAAGTCGAATTCTTTGCACCCATGGAATTTTTTTTTTTATTATGGTTTCAGATTTTATACAGTGTATTTTCCTTTAAACTTCTTATTTTTGGTTTCTTTTTTCGGGCGACCATACATATTTATTCTATTATTCTTTTTATCCATGTTTTTGATAAACAAGTGAATATAAAATTTGCCCGAATAACTTGTCCAATTCTACCATAAAAATCAATAGATCGACGTTTTTTCTTTCAATACTTTCCATATATGAGTGGTTTGGAGCGAAAATGTAGCACAGAAAAGTTGAGCGGAAAAATGTCGATGATGAATGAGCGGAAAAGGGACAGCTATATAGTAAACTATAGTAAACTATATAGCTATCCCTTTTCATTTGACATTTTTCCGCTCAACTTTTCTGTATTACATTTTCGCTCCAAACCACTCATATTTGCGTGTTTTAACTCGATAAAACGATTGAAATTTCAATATTAGGGTATGTATTATTGTATTATCACTATGTCAAATTATCGCATTCAATATCACTTATCACTTTTATGTTATTTTGCCACGAACCTTAGAACAAAGAGTGATGTAAAAATATTAAAAAATGAAATTCAAATCAGTTTTGACCGTTTTTAATCCAATAAATCCTCCATTTTATTCCCACAAAAATTAACAAGTTTGATTCACACAGTAACCATATTGAATGAAATCTTGTTCGCAAATGAAATATAACTCAGCGCTGCAAAGGTGATCATTCCACATAAGGCCAGCACCGGGGCCCCTCCCGATGTTGAATATGTTGATGCAACTTTCATGTTGATTTTCGCGAAATTGATTATCTGGCTGACCCTGGGCCCAGTCAGTGAATTTTACCACTTTACCCGTGCTCATCCATTGATAAACACCATTCGAACCTAACTTATTGCCTGATGTCCAAAAATCTTTGTCTTGGTGATCTAAGAAAATACGAAAGGAAATCACAAAAATCAATGGTGTTTTAATGTTTACACATATCTGAAAAAAGTCGCTCAAATAGAAAACAGGAAGCAATGAAAATTACTTTCGTCTTGGATTTGTTTGATGATTCGGTCGTTCTCTTCTTTGGATGTAATGCTGACCAAATTCATATCCATGGACCGACAATGATTGAATGCCTTGAACCAATTTACCTGCATTGCAATATCAAAATACAAATTATTTTAGTTTAGTCACTGGTGAAAGTATCAATTGTTCGTTGAAAAATTGTACCGGAGCCAAGGTTATCAGGTAATACTTCTTGGTGACCATTGGCGTTGGAGAGATATATTGAGCAGAAATTTGCGCTAAAAGATCAGAAATAATTTGAGAAATTGTCAAATTGTTTTTCTTTTTTCTCCACTGTACAAAGTACTTTTGTACTGGTTCTCTTTACACATACCAACCAAAAATATCGCTATGCTGAAAATACCGCACAATTTCATTTCGAATCGGATTTGTTTTAAAATTGAAAGAAAAAACACCAAACACGCATAAAATTACTGAGTTTGAATCAAATATTTTATTATATTTCTTTGTGTTTTTCTCCGACAAAAATTATTCATTCGACTGTATTTTAATTCTACAAAAAGTGTAGTGTACAAATTGCGTGTGATTGAATTAATTCAGCGTTCAGCTAGATTGTCAAAAGAAATAAGACTAAATTGAAGCTCGTGCAGTGATAACATATGGGGCTTCCTTCAAAAAACCCAAACGAGCTGATATATCAAAACGGATTTGACCTTTGCAATCATGAAGCGATAATAATTCAAGCGATCGCTCTTTTGTGAGATCACGTTTTTATCAGCAAATTAAAAACGTTCACTTTAACGCGTATTCTGTATACAAGAAATCGACCATTCCACACAAAATCGAACAAGAATTGGATCGACCCTCTCCGAAATGGCTGAAAATTTGCATGGAGTCCGAGGGGGAAATCACTTAAAAGTAATTGAAATGTCACAAGTAATTATGATAACAGAGAAGTAATTTTTCCCGCAAACAGTAATTGAGGTACAAAAAGTAATTGAGGTAGATGTTATTGAGACATCTTGGACATAGTTTGGTTATGTCTGTTCGCCATAAACCACATACCCGAAGTATTATTGGATAAATAAACAATGATATTAAATGAAAATGGAAAAATATAGTTTGGTGTGGGCTCGATTGCGTTTTTTTTCCAAATGCGGCATGACTCAAAAGAAATTTGTATAGAATTTATTTTATACTTTCGAAATACTCAACTAAAACTTACTTCAAGCTCAATTTCATATCTTCTGGTATTTCAAAACCAATGTTTGACAACGTCAAACTTTGACATAAACGTCTAATTACTTTCGTAATTTACTAAAGTAATAGCGTGCCAAAAAGTAATAGAAAAAGTAATTTGATAGTTTTGAAAAGTAATTGGAAAGTAATTGAAAGAGTGATTTCCCCCTCGATGGAGTCTTGATTTCGGTAGAAAATGAGAAAACCAAAATTTTAAGCCCGTAAGTGGCCCACATTTTCGAGTTCACCCAGTGTACTCGCATTTATGCGAGATTATAAGTGTGTGGACTTGGTACACAGTCTGTTCATATCACCCATCAACTCTACGCATTTACACAGTGAATATTTTCATTTGTTTACCAGAATTTTTTTTTGCTCTTCAACATATTCATATCATGATTTGCAATCGAATTGAATGAAGATTGATCATTTTTGGTTCTTTCATATATCTACACCTCACATAAGCTCCAATTTTCCATATAGATTTCGCCGTTAGAATAGAGAATAATTTTTGGAAAAATGTGTAGGATTTTAATTTGAGTGAATATCAGCAAATAAGAGCTTTGAGAAATGTTTGGCTATCTGAATGAATTTTCTGGGTACAATTTTACGAATAAGTTAGATTAAGAGATTATTATAACGCACTCATTTGACAACAGACCGTTTTTCTCAAATAAAAAGACCATTTTTCAGTTTATTATGCTTTTGAATATTCATTCAATGAAAATTGTTTGAACAAATGTAGTTTCTTTCTTGGCAGCATACAGTCACTTGTGAATTTTCTTGTGTTGGTTGAGATCAACCTTTTGCGAGAAGCACTTTGAGCATACTTCACATCGGAATGGCTTTTCTCCAGTGTGGACACGCATGTGTCTCATGAAGTTTGCCTTCACATCGGTTGTGTAGCTGTTGCATAAGTCACATCGGTATCCGCGTCGCTTGCAGTTGGCTTTATGGTTTTCTTTTTCCTTCTGTTGTGCGAAGTTCTTGAAGCAAGATGAACATTTGAATTTCAATGGACGAGGATTGGCGTGAGATTTGAGGTGGCGTTTCAAAATACTTGATTGGTTGAATTTCTTCAAGCATTGGTCGCATTCGAATGGTCTCTCGCCGGTATGTACACGTAGATGATGTTTGAAATGCGTCTTATGCAATGTAGAGTATTCCGTGCACAGATAACACTCATAGCGACGAACCTTGCAACCGGATTCGTGTTCCACCTTCTCCTCGCTGCGATGAAATCCTTGCAAACAAATTGAACAACTGAACAGAAATTCATCGACGTGTCTTTTCATGTGCGATTGGAGATGTTGTTTTTTGGTGAATCGTTTCTGGCACACGCTGCATGGAAATGGTCGTTCGCCGGTGTGCTTGAGCATGTGTTTTGTCAAATCACTTTTTCTGAACGTGCAATAATCGCACAATGAACACTTGTGTCGCTTTCCTATTGCATTACCTTCACCTGGTTTCTTCTTGTCATCAAAACTGTTTGCATTGTTCTTTCTATCGGACTTTGCTGCACCACCATTCCATCCACTTGACTTCTGTTTGTTTCCATTTGGCAGACGTTTCACCGGATTTTTCTGTGGGCTGTGATTATCGTGACAACCTTTGCAAGCTACTTGATTTGCTTCGTTCTTAACCTTATCGATCTCCACTTCCGATTTTACCTCATCCAGAGCGTAGAAATCGAAGCAAAGGTTTGTATCATTCACTTGCTTGCTTCCAATCGCATTGACGAGTCTTCCATTGGCTGTGTGTGCTGATCTTGACACCATCAAAATATTGTCGTTACCACCTTGCTCTTGTTTGACGGTCGGCTCCTGTTTGATTTCCATTCCACACAAAATCGAGTCATTCTGAATAGCGATGTCATCCGATTCGTATTTATCAGGCGGCTCTCTATCGTGACCATTTAATCCGACGCAATTTCGGTGCTGTCAATCAGAAATCAGAATATTTATTAAAAATCACACATGGAACAAACACTTGAAAAAATCTACTTTGACAATAACTCACCTTTTCTTCACAAAATAGACTTTTTGTTTCGATAAAATAAAATAAGAATAAATTGACCCAAAGTCAAAATTCGCCGATTAAACTCAGCAGCGCACAGATTGTGTGTTAGACTGACTCAATTTGGCAGAACAAAAATGGCGTCGAGAAAGAATGAAAATATTTATTGAGTTATTTTACGTCACACACTTCAATGACAGGTGGCGAAACTTTGAAATATGGTATAGTGTTACTGCGGTGACTTTCGAATTTTTCGATGAGTCCAGGTTGTCTAATTCGAAATTGGAGAAGTAATAATTTGTAATTTACAAAGCAGCGAATATTTCATTTCTGAAAATTGAATGTAATTTGAATGGATTCGTAATTCATGTGTGATAATATACTGAAGAATTGCGACATCTTCAATTCTTTAAGTAGTCGAAGCCTTGCGCAAAATCGCATTTTGATAGATGTCGCCTCTATTCAACCACAAAAAAATATTTCATTAAATAAGCAAACAACAATGCACAGTTAAAATAAGGACGTTTAAAACCTGAAGGGTTATTAACGCTATAATTTAATTATATCGCTGTAACTAGATTTAAGTAACACAGTGCAACACATGTCAGACAACCAAGATTTGGCATATCAGAGGTGTTAGTACTACCATAGGTGAGCAAAACCCCAGCTGGGTTTTGAAAGTATAGTAGCGGTTTTTATTTTATCGACCTTGGCAGTTTTTGGGATTCAGAGGATTTTCCAGAGTTGACATCTTCAGTTTTTGGTCAATAACTCATCTAGTATTGGTGACAACATCTTATTGTCTTGAGCAAAGTTGTAGTTAAAGGTCCAATGAACAAGTTTTGTGAACAAACTGTGCCAAAAGAATCACATTTGGTGGGTGCTAGGGGACCAAATGTCCGAAAAAAGGTAGATTTTTTCAGTTTTTCGACCATAACTTACGAGGAATACATTTTTTTTGCTCACTTTCTTCGCCAAAATCATGGCCAGAGAAAAATTAAACAACTCTCTAGAACAACTCTCTAGAAAAAACCACATCCAGTCCACTTTATTGGATGAAAATCAAATTTGGCTACCAAACAACATTTTTGAGCATTTTTTGAATTCCAATAACTCCTCAACTGATCGAAATAGTGCAATGGTGTCTGAAGCAACTTTGTAGTACTGCTTAAGAGCTTTGCAGATAAAGTGCTAAAAGTACTAAAATAGTGCTAAAAATGTACTAAAATGTACTAAGTTGCCCAAAATCATTTTGATGGCCATCGGCCACTCTGAATGATGAAAGATGCACTAATGATGAGAGAATGATGCACTAAATCATGTTAGACGCACTGTTTTGGACCACACTGAACCCTAGCCATCGATACACAACTGAA